ATTGATTGATTCATTGATTGATTCATTGATTCAATGACTGGTGTCATTTGTTGTACTTTCAGTGGTCGGTAATCGATCGATCTATTGATTGATTGATTGATTGATTGATTGATTGATTGACTGGTGTCATTTGTTGTAATTTCAGTGGTCTGTAATCGATCGATCGATTGATTCATTGATTCATTGATTGTTTGATTGACTGGTGTCATTTGTTGTAATTTCAGTGGTCTAATCGATCGATCTATTGATTGATTCATTGATTGATCGACAGGTGTAATTTGTTGCAATTTCAGTGGTCTGTAATCGATTGATTGATTCATTGATTGATTGATTGAATGGTGTCATTTGTTGTAATTTCAGTGGTCTGTAATCGATCGATCTATTGATTGATTCATTTATTCATTGAACGATTGATTCACTGATTGATTCACTGATTTATTGACTGATTGATTAACTGATTGATTGATTAATGGATTCATTGATTCATTGATTGATTGGTGTCATTTGTTGTAATTTCAGTGATCTGTAAGCAGTCTAAAAGGTATGGCAAGGTTTGCATCTGCGGTAAAACAAAGGAAGGCAACATTTGGTCCCATTCTTGTTATGTCTTAGGTAAGCACTAACTCAGCGAGTAATCATGTATTCTGTACTTCTCATGTCTTTCCTTCATTGCAGGTGAAAATGCCAACAGTGTGTCACTAAAAGTGAACGAGACACAGGTGATCACCGTTTTATTTTTTGTTGTTGTTGCACCACAGGCATCCCACCACTTGCATTCTAAAATTTATTATGCATTTTTATTTTATTTTATTAATTCATAAATGTATATTGATAAATAAACATAAACAAAATTGAAAACAGAGCAAGAAAAGCATATGCACGATTTTTACTCACTTGCTTCGGTGAGCGCGGGCTCTTAGCAAAATGCGGACTACCTGTGGTACTACGTCACGATCCCTTGCAAGTACACACTAGTCTGTGTTAAAAATACTAATGTATTCATTCTTTTCTTCTTTCTCTCAAGCAATAGTTGGGCGGCCCGTGGTTKTTGTTGTTTATTTATCTGGATGCAAAAATGTCAACAAAAATGTCTTCCATACGTAGAATTAGAAACTGGACTTTTGAACTTAACCATCACGAATTACTTCACTGCTTTGCTTCCCAACTATTGCKTCCTGGTTAAATGGGGAATAAATTATATAATCTACGCCACATTATACACTACTTATACCCTGTCTTTGATCAGCTGTTTTTCCTTTGTAGTGGAATGCCAAAAGATTCAAAGATATGTTAGCGAAACAATTAACAAAGTTTTGTGGAAGCAACTATTGTGGTCAAAACAGGTAGATTTTCTTTTGCKAAAATTGTACAACTAGTGAAATATAAGTGCATCAAAACATTTGTTATTATTATTTTTTGCCATCTCGTCTWTTTTTCCTATATTAGGACTATTGGAGCGATGTAGAAAATAGAGGATATTACCGGGGCGCACGGAGATACGGATTTTATCTTCGAGTGTTGAAAAGGTCTCTCACGATTGAGCGTAGCGAAGATTTTCAACATGAGAAGATAAAGTTCGTATCTCCGAACGAACATGTAATATTCTATTTATCATATATTAATTGTACATAAAATCAAGTTATGTCGTAAGAAATACCTTTTTCTCAGTGACATCTACTATATAGAACAACCTCGCATGTGTTATTTTCACTATTTTAGTGAAAATAACAACTTTACAAAGTGGAGAAATATAGGAGTTTCAAAGATAATTATATGATAAAACAGTACGTCGGAAAATCAGAATAGCGGGAAATATCGAAAAAATATCCATAATCATTATTTCAATGCATTGCTATCTTTTCTTTTCTAGTTCTCATGAGCACGTCTTTACAACGAGCGATATTATCATCGTTACGACTGGTTCGACGGCACCACAGCAAACACATGTACTGTTTTTAGTATTTGATTCACACACAAAGAAACCTCTACCAAGTGGTGTTATCCKGAGTATGATCAACCACGATAAGWTGCTTGCTGGATTGGAAGTATTCCATCAGTCTCCTGCCCCTCACCCGCGGGCCTCAGGTAAAAAGCATCCCAATGTGATCATGATGGTCGGGATAGCTCTGGGAGCGCTTCTCTTTGGTGCTGTGGTGATATTTGCTATTGTGTAT